AACCCAAACTGTATCCTCCACTAATTGTGTTTTGTCTCTGCCCTTATGAACCAAATGTTGTAACTACAGAAGCAGCAGAGATGTACTTATTATTATTACTTTTATTAGTTGCTTGCTACCTTAAAGGTATCCAAGCAACTTACTTTTTAAAACATATACATAAATATTTATTTCATAAAATAAATTTATTTTTTCATAAAATTTATAAACCTCTTGACTGTGAACAACCCCCCCCCAGTGGCTTAGAAAGAAGATAATAGAAATATCAGTTAAAACAGTTAAAATTAACTATTTAAAAAGTTATTAAAATCAGAAAAATACTAAATACAGATTAAGGCATACAGCAACATTCTACATGTCTGTGTAGGCTTGTTTGATCAAAATTGTTTTTAGCACATGCCGAAAACAGTACAATGAAGGCACCTGCCTAATGTCAATAGGCAAGGAGTTCCAAAGTGTAAGTACTGTCACACTAAAAGATGGATTTTAAACAAGTGCAGAATGAGTTTTATGGTTATGTGGTGCTTGTGGTTGTGCAGGGGAAAGAGAAAAATTAATAGAAAGCATTAGCATTTCATACAATTTATAAAAATGAAACAACCACACTAAATGGTTGGCATCTGTCTGTTTCGGAAGTGCCTTTGCTGGTGAAGTCAGACCTTTGGAGAGTTACAGCGCCTGCTGTGACTGTAGAGACCGATACGAGAGAGACATGTTTTAATGCAACTGGGGCAGATGGAGGTGTCTGGTTCTGCTGCAGCAGGTGTACCACTAAGCACCACAAACTACCTTACATATGAGTCAGTCCAGAACAACCATTTCCTTTGCTAAATCAATGGAGACTAATAATGCAAGCTCCCACCCCAACTAGCCCAGACAAAATTTTGGATTTTGGTGGCTGGTGCTTCTGCTGTTTCATAGCCCTGAGCTATGGAGTTGATTTTTCAGCTGCATTTTCTACCCTTTGGGGATTCATCAGCCATCAGGATCAAACTGAAGCACAAAACTTCCAGGGGCTGCGTACAGACTCTGGAGGGCTGTCCTTGAGCAACTGCAATTGTTCAGTGGCAGTGGGGGGAAATGGTCATTCTGTGCCTTAAGAGCAGGGGTCAGCAAACTTTTTTCAGCAGGGGGCCGGTCTACTGTCCCTCAGACCTTGTCGGGGGCCTGACCTTATTTTGGAAAAAAAATTAAATTGAACGAATTCCTATGCCCCACAAATAACCCAGAGATGCATTTTAAATAAAAGCACACATTCTACTCATGTAGAAACACGCTGATTCTGGGACCATCCGCGGGCCGGATTTAGAAGGCGATTGGGTCGGATTCTGCTCCTGGGCTTTAGTTTGCCTACCCATGCTTAAGAGTTTTGTGAACTCTTTGCTTGGCCCCACACCTTCTCCCTGCCCTTTCCTCTCTGTGTAAAACCCACTTCTTGTTTTACCCTTCTCTTTTAAATCCTACTTGTGTGAGAGTCACTCCTGTGAAAGAAAGACACTTCTGTGTCCAACCCCTCAGCTTCAGCCCATTGTGTGGAGGGACGAGAAATTTCCCTGAAAGCCCGCAAATGGTTAGGCATATTCTTGGAGTCATAAGGACTAGAATGTTGCCAGCAGCAGGCATGAGTTGGCTTTCTAGCTCTTTCTCTTTCTCAATGCTCCTGCAGAAATGCAGAATATGCAAGCAGCTCTGAATATATTCAGAATGCCTTTTGAAATAATACATTTTTCTACTTCCCTACATTGAGAGTGAATTTGAGAGTCACTGGAACCTTCTGCTTCTTATCATTCCTGCCCTCGGCCGCCACGTCTCCCCATGGTGGCCCAGTTGTTCCACTTCTGCTCTGCTGATGTGGCCCTTTGCTGGTTACCCTCATTTTTACTGCTTTGAATGTTTTGCTCTCTGATTATGAGCAAAAGGCTGCTCCCGCCCCCTTCTTCTTCCCTAGCACGAGTTGAACTTCTTGATAGCGTAACAAATTTTAGCTTAGCTTGCTACTATTCTAATGAGCTTCCTTCTGGCTAGATAAAAAAAAAAAAAATTAAGCTGCAGCCTTGCTGGAAAAGATTCCGGCACACGGATTTGACAACTAAGTTTAGCCGATTGTTAAAAAGCAAGCTATGATTATGGGCTGGCAGTCTGTGCTACCAGTTCTGAATTTTAAAGAAGCAGAGATCTAATGCTTATTGGCAAAACAATCCCCGCTCGAAACAATATGTTTCAGAAAGGGGGGGGGCAGCCTGAGCAGCTTTGGCATTTTTGCCAAGAGGGTTGGGGGGGGGGGGGAGAGAGAGCACATGCCTGTTTTTCAAGCTGCTTCGGCTCCCCCTAGAGAAAAGCATCTCTACTTCCATCCTTTAGGGACCAGGTAATAAAGTCCCTCTGGAATGATCTGCCCTTTATTTGGAAATGAAATGCATTGCTCCAAAAATGTCTCTTCAGCAACCCTTTTATGGATTCTGATGTAGATTATTCTCTTAGCTGCTCAAATATTTGTTGAATATTTGATAACTTTCTTGGGCATGCCATGCTTTTTATTTTGTTTTCATAAGACCATGAGACGAGCCTGTTAGATCAGACCAATGACCCACCCAAGCAGATGCAGGACCCAAAGGCAAGAACCCTCTGCCCTCCTGTGGGTCCCAGCAACTGGTACTGTAGCCAGGACTCAGAAGCATTGCTGCTGCCTCTTGTGGAGGCCCAGGACAGCCCCCATGGCGAATGGGAATGGATAGACTTATCCTCCATGAATCTGTCCAATCCATCACTGCGTCCTGTGGGAGAGAGTTCCACAGTTTAACTATGCACAGCATGAAGAAGTACTTTCTTGTGTCTGTCCTAAGTCTTTCAACATTGGACGTTCATGAGTTCTTGTGTAATGAGAAAGGGAGACAAACTTTTCTCTGTCCATTTCTCCCTGCCATGCTTAATTTTATAAACTTCTGTTATAGTACCTCATCCTTGTCTCTTTTTTTTAAACTAAAAAAAGTCCCAAATGCTGCAGCCTTTTCTCATAGGAGAGTTACTCCATCCCTTCATCATTCTATATAATATAACATAATATAATATAGAGGCATATAATATAATTATAAAATCTTCTCTCTCTCTCTCTCTCTCTCTCACACACACACACACACACACACACACGTGCGCGCGATGTTAGATTTTGGGTCTGTCAAATGAATCTGATCAATCTGAATCAGAGCAAGAAATGCTGTGAAGTCTGGAGCACTCTGATTTTGATTAAAAAAAGAAGTCACATTTGATAAAATTTGACTGGAAAAAACTGCATTTGTGTGTGCGTGTATTTGGCATATATGTTTCAACTCTGCCGTTGCCCAAATGGCTGTTACATTCACTGTTTTTGGTATGAATGCTTCTGATATCAGATTGAATCTGCAACATGGGGTTTGTAGTATCTCATAATAAAAATATTGTGGCATTTGCAACAACATGTGTGCTTTGAAATATCAGAACACAGCAGAAAAATACAGAAGAAGCATTGCTGCAGCATGAAAGTGTGGAAATCCTTCCAAAGGAGCATGCAATAGATTTGACTTGAGCCTTCTGGATTCTAGCAATGCTGCCAGAATAATATTTGGAACAGACAGAAAAGCACTAGTTGAATCAAATTCCTTGGCACTGCATTTGAAGCAAGCTGCATTTTTCCAGGTTAGATTTCTTGGATGGCGCTGTATTTAAATTCTCCTCCCCCATCTATGGAGAACACCATAAACATTAGAGTTCTTAACAGGAAGTTTTAAAATTGCCCCATGAGACAGTGTGGCTTCTATGGTTTGGCAAGCAGCAGAACGTCCCCTGCTACAGTTTTAAAGAGCCAAGTAACTTTTTGCTCGATGCCTTTGCAGAGTATTAGTACATATTTAGGAGGATTGAACAGTACAGCCTCTCTTGTACTCTACCATTACAGGATGCAGGGGGAAAGTTGTAGGTCTGAATACTCCCATATGAAGCAAAAATCCCTGAACACAGACATAACCTGAGGGGAGAGAAGCATAAGCCAGACCCCTTTCCCTGACATGCTAGCTTTCTACAGGCATCTGAAGTTCTACAATATTGAGCCACTCCACTTCCAGTCCTTCAGTGGTCCCAACCATGATGGCTACATACCCTCCAGCACAAAGCAGTCCAAATCGAGGATACCATCTTCCATATCCCACACAAGATTGCGGCCATGAAAAAATGTTTATTGGGGCATGGTGCGCAAAAACACACATTTAGGGGCACTGCACAAGATCGTAGACCTGGAAAAAAGCACGCTTTTTTTGGGGGGGGTGAGATGTCTTCTCGAAATTGCATGAGAGCAAGGTACCCCAAATAGCTGCTTTACTCTCACAGGAAAAAATTGCATGTCCCGGTTTTGACAGTTGGCAGTTGGCAGATATGTGGCTCTGTTTTACCTCCACTGTCGGAGGCAGTGAACTTCTGAATACTAGTTTCTGGGAATCACATAGGCATTTGGTTGGCCGCTATGAGAACAGGAGGCTGGACTAGATGGGTCATTGGCCTGATCCAGCCGAGCTCTTCTTCTGGAATCATAGAATTGTTGAGTTGGAAGGGACCCCAAGAGTCATCTAGTCCAACCCTCTGCGATGCAGGAATCATACCTTATCTTCTCACAGTTTGGGGAGGGGGGAAGGCTTGACCACGCAATTCTGCTACCAGTGCCCATTCAGGCAAAACCACCAGCAGGGCATGATCACCCTCACAGCATTTGAGTCAGCCAAAGACATTTCTGGGCTGGGACCACCTTCCCGCTCTTCCAGTTCGCCTCTTGTCTCCCTGCTTCCCTTCCCTTCCCATAGCATCAGTGACAGCAGGCCCTGTGGAAGCTCAATGACATTGCCTGCTCTTTATCCTTCCACAAGGTTCATGGAACCAAAGTAGCTGCAGCATTTTCACTTCTGCAGATGGGCAAGCCTGCCGGCCTGCCCGGAAATGCCATGGAGGAGCCAGAGACATCTGTGATAATGAGTGAATTACCTCACTAGGTCTGACCCCCACAGTGCTGCTGTTTGGGAGCAGAAGCTTTCATGTGAATGGTGTTGAGCTTTCTCCTCTTGCTTGGTGTATGTTCTCTTTCTCTGGAACAATGAAAAAGGAAATCAGCCGTAGGGGTGTATTTGAAGATGCAATGCCAAGCAACGGTTTTATGCTACTTCTATGATTTGCAGGGATACAGGGTTGGACAAAAGAATGCCGAGAATTCCAAGCAGATTGTAACTCTATAGAGGAATAAATTCTGTGCATGTAGCAAAGTCCCGTTTTCAGTGTCCAGCAACGTCATGTAGGGTTGAGGATGTCCCCTTGCATAAAATCAGCAGTTCAAAAAATACATTATTTTTAAAAGAAAAATTGCCCATTAAAATGCATATCAATCTTATTTTTTAAAATCTGTTTTAAAAATTTGTATACAGTGGTACCTTGGTTTACGAACTTAATCTGTTCCGGAAGTCCGTTCTTAAACCAAAACCGTTCTTAAACCGAGGCATGCTTTCCCTAATGAGGCCTCCTGCTGCCAGTGTCTTTTTACCGTTCAGATTCTGTTCTTAGACCGAGGTAAAGTTCTCAAACCGGGACACTACTTCCGGTTTTGTGGAGTCCGTAAACCGAATCGTTCATAAACAGGACTGTTCTTTAACCAAGGTACTACTGTATTGCTTTATTGTCAAAACCTCTAAGCGGTTCTTATTTTTTTTAGGTCAACTTGCTTTTGTCTTCTGAATTTTATTGAAAATCTTGGTGTGTATTTTATGATTTGTGTAAACTGATTAGCAGTTTCTAATAAATTTTAAAATAGAGAGAGAGAGAGAGAGAGAGAGAGAGAGAGAGAGAGAGAGAGAGAAAGTCCCTTTGCCTGAAATCCTGGAGGGCTGCTGCCAGTCTGTGTTGACAGTACTGAGTTTGATGGACTAATAGTCTGACTGGGCGGGACATGGTCAAGGTATATAGTGTCATGCATGGTGTGCAGAAAGATGACCAAGAGGAGTCTTTCTCCTTCTTTCATAATACTGGAACCTGGTGGAGTCATCCTTCAAAGCTGAATGTTTAGGAAAGACTAATGGAACTCACTGCCACAAACCGTGGTGCTGGCCACCAACCTGGGCAGCTATTAGAGGGATTAGACAAAGCCACGGAGGATAAGGCTGTCTGTAGCTACCAGTCATGATGGCCGTGTAGTGCCTTGAGGATCAGAGGCAACATGCCTCTGAATGTCAGTTGCGAGTGGAGGCAAGCAGGGAGAGTGCTGTTGTGCTCTGGTCATGTTTGCATTTATTTATTTATTTATTTATTTATTTATTTATTTATTTGATAAAATTTACACAGACATGGATATCCAGAAGAAGGGGTCATCTGAGACATATGTGCCCAATAATAATAACAATACTGGAAAACTGTAGGAATTATCTAATATTAAAGGTCCAGAGAAAGAGATTTAATTCATCTTTAAGTGTTGCCTTTCTCGTGAGAGGCTCTGGCAGATGGCTGATTCAAAGTGCGTTTACCTTGAGCTCAGTTGCATTAGACTGACAGCTTTTTATAGTCAATTGGATAAGGCAGCAGCCGTCAGAATGGGAGCAGCAGTGTGGGGACAGATAATAGGGGGGCACTGAAATGATGATCCGAAAGTGAGCTCAGCCCATGACGTGCTTCCTGTTTAGCTTGTTGTGAAGGCAAGTAGTTACATGCATGCATGCATGCACGCACGCACACACACACACGCACACACACGCACGCACACACACAAGCACGCACACACCATGGGAGATTTTGGGCATTTTGTGGTATGCTTGTTGGACGCATATGTCAGGTGAGCAGGCAAGCACCTACACCCATTCATCTTTCTTGGGCCTGGGGCCCCATTCACCCTTGTCCAACCCTGCAGGGCCCCATATTGCCAGTGGTGGGCGTGGCCGGAGGTGGGCACAGCCAACCTGCCGTCTTGCGTGTGTGCCTGCACACATGCCCAGAGGCACACAGCCCCTCCTCTTTAGATGATGTGTGCAGATCAGCTCAGGCAATTGAGTTATCAACTTGCTGGCCAGATGCACCCACCCCAATGTTGTGTCTGCTTTACCTTTCTCCTCGGTGCCCGATTCTGTGCCATGAAACTTTCTGTCCCAAGGCATCATGCTGTTAAGTGCAGCTAGGTAGCTATTTTGTAAACACTGGGCTCTGTATCCTCTTCCTTTGAAATGTGGCAAGCTAGCCGCCCTCTGTGTTGAGGCCTGCCCCCTTGCCCATTCCAATGAAGGAAGCCCTAGGCTTCTGTCCCAAAGGCATAGGAACACTGAAAGCTGCTTTTCTGAGGCTCCATCCAGCTCAGTATCTAGCTCAGTATTGCCAACATGGAGGGGGTTTCCAGGGTTCCAGGCAGGGAACACTTGCAGAGCTTCCTGGGATTGAGCCTGAGACCTTCTGCAGGCCAAGCAGGTGCTCTGGTACCGAGCTACGGCACCAAAAGGGTTAATACAGAGATTTTAAATTTTTTTAAAGCTCCCAATAGCCAGGCTGAATCTCACCTTAACATGAAGGGATAGAAGCAGGAGCAAGGTGCCTTTAAATCTCACAGATCACTTGACAGAGACATATCTTTGGCAAGAGGCCTCATGTCCTAAACCTGCAGAGTTAAATTTACCCAGCCTGACAACTGTATACTGAGGGTTGAGTTACATAACAGCAGTTGCTGTGTTTCACATTGCACTAATCCTAAAACAGAGATAATGCAGACCCTGCAAAACTGAATCTTTGCTGTGTGTGGAACCTGGTGTGGTGCCAGGACTTACTCTTTCCTATATGTACGTTCACGTTGCCGCTTCTTTATGTTCTGCCATTTGGGCCACCTGCTAGCTTCTGAATATTTGAATTATAGGCCTGCAAGTCAACAGCACGGAGCTGCTGTGATCTAGAGGACGGGGAGCTGGACTAGGAGCAGGGAGTCCTGGGTTCAAGTTCTGTCCTTGGACCAGTTACTCCCTCCTAGCTTTAACCCACCTCACAGGATTGTTGTGAGAGTTACAATCCTGGCGTGGGGAAGAACCATGTTCAACACCTTGAGCCTTGAAGAAGAGTGAGGTTAAAATGCAATTAATAACCCAAGAAATATCTCAGGCCTGACAGGTGGATGTTAGTGCAAGGCAAGAACTGTGATACTGAAACCATTTATCAGCAGTAACTTTGGGGATCCACTGAAAACCCAGAGCTGCTCTCCCTCCCACTGACCCTTAGGTTTTGTCATCAACTGGACCAGTTGCCAGTAGCAGATTGAGCTTCCACCCAGAGAACTTCCATGATTAAACCATAAAGGTAAAGGTAAAGGTACCCCTGCCCGTACGGGCCAGTCTTGACAGACTCTAGGGTTGTGCGCTCATCTCACTCTAGAGGCTGGGAGCCAGCACTGTCCGCAGACACTTCCGGGTCACGTGGCCAGCGTGACGAAGCTGCTCTGGCGAACCGGCACCAGAGCAGCACACGGAACGCCGTTTACCTTCCCGCTATAAAGCGGTACCTATTTATCTACTTGCACTTAAGGGTGCTTTCAAACTGCTAGGTTGGCAGGAGCTGGGACCGAACGATGGGAGCTCACCCCGCCACGGGGATTCGAACCGCCGACCATGCGATTGGCAAGTCCTAGGCGCTGAGGTTTTACCCACACCGCCACCCGCGTCCCATGATTAAACCATAGATGGCTGTCAACCCAACATTTATGTATCACTGGTCTGTAGGCAATGGCCATGTATATCCTCAAGTGTTTTTATCTTGAAAGGCTATATTTGTAGTGGGTGGGGGGACATTTCTCACTTGCATGAAAACAAAAAAGCCACAACGGCCTGAGATCTCCCGCGTCATCTCCTGATCATGGATCTTTTCATGAGTAACATTATGGCTCAACTTTTTGTAGCCCTGCTGAGAATATGTCCAAGGAGGCAGCCTGGTGCTTTTCCTAAGCAGTTGTGTTTCACTTTTGCACATGTGGAAATTTGGGCATTGTGTTTCCCCCCTTGGAGTGCCCCCCCATGGTCAGGGAAGATGGGAGTTGGAGCCTGACAACATTTGAGGAACAAGAGCCCCCTGCCCTCATTTTGGCTGCAGCGGGAGAGTGTCAGTGCTCTGATTGCAAAGTACTGGAAGACACAAGATCTACCCACTCTGGAAGAATGGCAGATGAAGGTGATAGACTATATGGAACTGGCGGAAATGACTGGCAGAATCCGAGACCAGGGAGAAGAGTCGGTGGAGGAAGATTGGAAGAAATTTAAAGACTATTTACAGAAACATTGTAAAATTAATGAATGTTAGAATGATGTTGGAATGATTCTAGGTGATTCTAGCAAAAATGTATCAAAGAGTTAAAGAAAAATAGACTGTTAATTGGTGAAAAGAGGGAAAGTAAACTTATATCAAGATCAAGATAAATTTTCAGGATAAAAATTTTGAAGAGAGGGAAAGGATTTGCTGAAATGGATAATTGACCTAGAATACAAAAAAGGGAGGTGTGAGGAGGTCAGGGAAACAAGCAAATGAAAGAAAAGTTATGGGAAGGTTTGAACTGGTTTTTTTTTCTTTCTTTCTTCTTTTTTCTTTTGTTTTTATAATTGTTTCTATTTTTCGGTTTTTTACTGTGATGTGTTGGTTTTGTTATTGTTTAATTTGGTGTTTTTTCTTTTGCCTTTTTGTAAATTTAAAACTTTAATAAATACTATTTTTTTTCTTAAAAAAAGAGAGTGTCAGTGCTCTGTTGACTCAGTGCCAAAAACACCAGGACAAAGGAATGGCTGCCCTAGATCTAATCCATCCTCCTGCATCTGACAGTTGTTAGCATTGCATGCTTCAGAAGGAAGACTGAGAGGACCAGCAGGAGGCAGATGTCAGAACACCTTCTGCTAATCCTGAATAGTTGCTGTAGCTTCTGAATACATGGCTTTCTCTGACCTTTCTGTGTAGGCAAGATTAAAGAAATTTTGATACTCCCCTCCCCACCCCCCAAAAAAGGATTGAATCTGAGTGGAGAGATTTCCCCAAAATTGCTCTAAAATTTGTTCTGTTCTCTGTGCAGCGACTCTACTTGTTTGTGAATCTTCCTTAAACCTTTGTCTCCTGCCTTTGATTATTGGAGAGTAGAAAGCAGAAAATGGATTTTTCTTTTTGCATGTTTATTTTTGTTGGTCTCAACAAGTGGCTCCCACTCTGGGAATTTTTTGGCAGATGTAGTCAATTCTGCTGACATTCCTCTTTGCTACTCCCATTTGCCCTCACTGTCCTCAGCAGCCATTTCGTCTGATTGGTTATAGTGACTCAAACAATTTTTGCCTATGATGTTAAACCTAGCGTCTGATGTGATGTTTTCACAGGTGGATAAAGGGAGTCACATAAGTGGCCGCAGCCAACTGGGTTGAGTGGCAGTGTGGGCAACTAAGGCCAAGGTGAGTGAGGGCAAAGGACATGGTAATGGAATGACATTTTGCAGGAGCCACAGACAAGGGAACACAGAAGTGTTTTGAGGAGCATTTAAACCATTTGCATGCTTGGAGAGAAGGGTTATTCCCCCCAGGATTTCCCAAAATTAGTCAATGTTCCTCCCAGTAAAGAGAGCCTAGTTAATCTAGGTAATCTAGCCTACAGATTAACTAAGCAAGCACCAACTCTCAGTGCTCATAGGCTGTTAACTGTGTGTGCTAAGGAGAAGTTAAAATCTTTTCCTCCTGCTCCCAAAGAAACAGCAGGCAGACAATTGCTTGTTAGCAATGCTCGAACCACCAGCAGCAGCATTGTGTCAACCTGCTCAAGATGGTTTATAGGGGAATAAATGGCTAATTGGAGTCTCACTCAAACAAGACAAGCAGGACTCAGCCTGAAGAAACTATTAAGCCTATGCTTCTGTGCTTGTTCTTCTGTACTTGTTCTTGTTGGTACATTTATATATAGAGAGAAAGAGAATTTCCTAGGTACCAATATCCAAGTTTGGGGCAAGTTCTCTTTGATGAGAGAACCTCAGCGGAGATTTAAAATCGCAAAGTAAAGCGTAGAAATATAGGTTTCGACTTTTAAAACATGCCCTTCCAAGTTCCTTAAAAGTTTACCTCTTCCCCCAGCATAGGAAAAGACTGCAGGTTTGGTAAATTAAAAAATGGTTTACTTACTAATTCTTCAAAGGTCTGGTTCATGTGCTTTTCCATCCATCAGTCAGAAAAGTTGCATAGGCAGTAAAATGTAGTTTACTTACAAAGTGGTAGAAGATCCTAGATTATTGGTATTGGAACTCAACAGTTCCTGATGAGAGCCATGTGGCTGAGCCACAGCAACCAGTTCAAACCGTTTCACACGCTGAGCTTCTCAAGTAGACTGGGTACAACCGTAACTTGATGACTCATTTTCTCCCAAGGTAAAGGGAAGTGACATAGCTAAGCCTAGCAGGCCACATTACTCTATGGTCCTAACCCCTTCATGCATTTAGACTTAAGCATGCTGGTTATATGAGGCTAGTTATCCTACAGGACTGTCAGTGTTGTTGTTTTTTTAACATGTTGGTTCATGTGCCAAGGCATCATTTAAGCATCGGGGGGGGGGGGGCAGGCCTATCACATGGGCTATTAAATTACTCATAATTGGGTGCAACTTTTACTAATCTAGTTGGACACTGTGAGAAATGGATGCTGGAAAAAATCATTTTCTGATTATTTTACCTTGGTGTTGGAAGCTGTCACCATGTTTGGGTTTCAGAGGATGACAGCCATGCAGGTGATAAGCCAATAACTCACTCTGTGCGTTTGCTTGAAGAAATGTCTGCTGATGACAGGATTCAAGCTTCTTTCTCCACCCCAGTTCTTAGAGCTGAAACAGAGGAGAGGAGAGCTGCCTATGAGGAATCTGTTGCTGGGCCATACTTTTAAAGAATATAAGACGAGCCTGCTGGATCAGGCCAAAGAGGACCCATCTCATCCAGGATCCTGCTTTCACATTGGCCAACCAGGTGCTTGTGGGAAACTGACAAGCAGGACCCAAGCAAAGAGCCCTTTTCCCTCCTTCAGTCTCAAGCAACTGGTGTTCAGAATCATTGCTGTAGCCAGTCATGGAGACAGAGCATAGCCATCATGGTCGCCTTATCCTACATGAATATGTCCAATCCATCCAAGTTGGTGGTCCCCACTGCCTGCTGTGGGAATGAGTTCCATAGTTTAACTATGGGCTGCATAAAGAAGGACTTTGTTCACTGCATGTTGGGTCTGGGAGGGAGGCGTTTATCCTTGGTCTAGGAGGGCATAGCTCAGTGATCAAGACTTTTCCTGCAGAGAGCCCAGCTTTAACCCGTGACACTTCCAGTCAAGCAAAGGATCAAGTAGCCCAGCCTTTGTCAAGGCAGCCCTCCAGTTCTTATTGGACTACAACTCCCATCAGCCCCTGCCACTATAACCAATGGTAATAGAATAACAGGATCATGGAATTGTAGAGCTTGAAGGGACACTAAGGGTGGGATTGAAGGGACACTAAGGTGAGATTCCAACCCCCTGCAATTCAGGAATCTCAGCTAAATTATCCATGACAGATGGTCACTCAACCTCGGCTTTAAAACCTCCAAGGAAGGAGAGCCCATAACCTTCTGAGGTAGAACATTCCACTAACCAACAGCTCTTACTGTCAGAAAGTTTTTCCTGATGTTTAGGATGTTTAGTCAAAATCTCCTTTCTTGTAACTTGAAGCCATTGGTTTGAGTCCCTCGCTCCAGAGCAGGAGAAAACAAGCTTGCTGGATCCTCCACATGACATCCCTTAAGATATTTGAAGATGGCTATCATACCTCCTCTCAATCTCCACTTTTCTAGGCTAAACATACCCAGCTCCTTCAAGCACTCCTTGCATGACTTAGTTTCCAGACCCTTAATCATCTTGGTTGCCCTTCTCTGTACACATTTGTCAACATCCTTCTTAAATTGTGATGTTCAGAAGTGGACACAGTATTCCAGGTGTGATCCGACCAAGACAAAATAGAGTGGTTCCCTTGATCTGGACACTACTGTTGATGCAGCCTAGAACAGCATTAGCTTTTTGTTGTTGCTGCATCACACTATTGACTTGTTCACCTTGTGGTCCACCAAGACCCCTAGATCCTTTTCACATGTGCTGTAAGTAATCAAGGTGACCCCCATCTTATATTTGTGCATCTGGTTCTTCCTGCCTAAGTGCAGAACCTTACATTTGTTGCTATTGAGATTGATTTTGTTAGCTTGCGCCCAACTCTCCCATCTGTTAAGGTCATTTTGAATTGTGATTCTGCCTTCTGCAGCCTTACTGTAGCTACCCCTCCTAGTTTGTTGTTATCTGCAAATTTAATGAGAACCCCCTCAATTCCTTCATCCAAATTGTTTATAAAGACGTTGAACAACAGTAAGACCAAGACAGGATGATGAGGAACCATTAATGAGTACTCTTTGGGTCCGGTCCATCAACCAGCTACAAATCCACCTAATAATTACCTTGTTCAACCCACATTTTACCAGCTTCCTCACAAAAATATCATACCCTCCTAGTTGTTGTCATCTGCAAACTAGATGAGCACCCCCAGTTTCCTCAAAATAGTATCATGGGGGACTTTGTCAAAGTCTTACTGAAATCAAGATACACTATGTCCACAGCATCCCCCGATCCACCAAATTGGTAATTCCAACAAAAAAAGAAATGTGGTGAGTCTGGCATGACTTATTTTTGAGAAACCTATCCTGGGTCTTAGTAATCACAGTATCCTTTTCTAAATGCTTGCAGACTGACTGTTGAATTATCTGTTCTAGGACCTGGGTCTTCTCCCCCCCACACACACTTTGAAGATGGGGAAAACATTTGCCCGCCTCCAGTATGTAGAGACCTCACCTGTTCTCCAAGAATTCTCAAAGATTGTAGACAAAGGCTTTGAAATTTCATCCTCAAGCTCCTTTAGTACCCTTGGATGCAGCTCATCGGGCCCTGGAGATCTGAATTCATTTAAAGTAGCTTGGGGTTTCCTTCCTACCTCTTTTCCTATCTTGAGCTGCAGCTCCCTCCTTACACCATTTATTCTATTATCAGCAGGTTGGGCATCACTTTTCTTTTGGGTGAAGACAGAGGCAAAGTAGGTGTTGAGTAATTCCGCCTTCTCTCTGTCACCCAATAGCATTTCTCCATCTTCTCTTCCATCATGTATAATTGAACACAGCAGCACATGTATAATTGAGCATATGGAGTAAATATGCTGCTTGATTTGTTCAACTGGAACACTTCAATTTATGAAAGGGGAAGTGCAGTGGGAGTGGGGGGAGGAAAGGCAATTCTACTCAATGCGGAAGCGATTAAAAGTATGAAAATAACATCTGCAACCCAGTGTCTCAGTAGGGGGCTACTGTCCAGCCAGATGGTTCTGCCCCCTTCCAGGACACTCCATTCCATAGCGCGCGCTCCCTCTCTCTCTCTCTCTCTCTCTCTCTGTCTCTCTCTCTGTCCATTCCATATGGATTGGCCCTCTGAGAATCAGATTCACTACCAATATGTGTGATGCTTTCCTGACCAATAGCTGTGTTGCAACAGCTGCCTGATATCTCCTTTCATGCCACGCCTGAAATACGCTTTGTGACTGTCCCATCTCATCTGCTTGCCCACATCTCTCTCGGGAAGTGAGGGCCTCATCCCCAGGGAAGGTCTCCTGCCCAAGCCCTTTTGAACTGAATGTTGACTGCTCAAGTGCACAGCATAGGGGCCTCCTCCACTGCAATGGTAGGTGTTGTGCAGGAGACATTCCCAATGGATTTTGCCACAATCCCATTTATTCTATATAAACAGATGTTGTCCAAAGTGCTGATGGTTCTTTTTAAACGCCCGGGGATAACATCTCCTAAGAAGGTAGGAAGAGGCCTGCAGGATTAGTCCAAAGGTCCATCTGAGGCTGTCAATGGCTACTAGCCAGGCCCTGCCCTGCCACCACGGTGGTTTCCCATTAAGACATCCAGCTGGCTACTGGGATCATTGGCCTGATCAGCAGGCTCTTACATTCTTAGGTCCCCCCGCTTCCTTCAAGGAGCTCAGGACAGGGTGTACGCATTATTATTCCTCCCGAAGTTTTATCCTTATGTCCAATCTCAGAGGTAAGTGAGGCTGATATAGATTTAGATGATATTGAAATAGATGAGTGTGTCTGTGTATGCCTGCACTCACCCACTGACCTTTGCAGCTAGCTTTGAATCCCAGTGAGAGTCCAGCACACTGACTGCTTTACCACACCAGCTTTATGAAGGAGCAACCAGTCATGTTAGACAAATGAAGCTTCCATGTATTGGGGTAGTCTACCTCTGAGGTTCTTACCTAGTCCAGCTTCCTTTTTTCACAGTGAACTCAGGTTCAGTAGGTGACCTTGGGCCAGTCACTGCCTCTCAGCATAACCTTTTCCATAGTGTGAGGATAAAATGGGGGAGAGAGAAAACATGGTGAGATATAAAATCAATCTATCATGTATGTATGTATGTATGTATGTATCATCTATCTATATCTATCTATCTATCTATCTATCTATCTATCTATCTGTCTATCTATATCTCATTTTTTGCCAGATCATTTTTATAAACAAGTAACTATTTCACCTAGTGAAGGTATTACACCCAGCTTGAAATGCACTAGATTGCATGATGATGTTGCATCCAATGATGTCATGCTCAAAGTTTACTCATCAAATTCAATGGTCATGGCTCAACAAGTTCATTGATACAAATAGGTCTACTCTACATTCCTTTCTTTTTTATGACTTCCTAGTAAGGTGAGGGCCAGATATCTTACAACAGTCTTTTCCATTTCATTTCATTCATTTATTTATTTTTAAGAAAAATATTATCCTTTCTATTTTTCAGAAGATGTTCAAGGCAGCTAATAGTAATAATAATTAAAAAATGACAGTGATAAAATATAAAACCACCCAGAGTTCAACCAAATAGTAAATCAAAATAATGAATAATGAACTACACAACGAGTACATAGCAGCCATCAGAATTAAGACGTTGAAGTACAAAAAAAGGAAACATTGAAGGCTTACATAAATAGTGGCGTTACAAATGTCTAGTCTTACCTCCAAAGGCAGGAAAGAGATCCATTGCTCATGTTACTTGAAATGCGCTGGCTTCATGAGAGCTTTAAAGAGGCGAGTGCTCATGTTGGGATCAGACATTTGGTTAACAATTCAGCTGCAAAACTTCCTCTAGCTCAGCGGTATACATGCTCAGATCCCATTCATTTCTATGGAACTTAGGAACATCAGAAACTGCCTTGATCCTGAGTCAGATCACTAGCTCAGTATTGTCTCCCCTGGCTGGCAGTGGCTCTCCAGGTTTCGGGCAGGGAGATGCTGAGGATTGAACCTGGGACCTTCTGCATGCAAAGCAGGCACTCTTAACACTGAGCCAGGATCATTCCCTGGAGTTCTTGAATGGAAGATGTTTCCCACTGGGCTGGGCCATTTGCAATGCAACACAGTTCTGTGATGGGGATCTCCCAGATCTGTTTTATAGCTGACAGCATCCATTGCATGCAGAATCCACATTTTTTTTTTTTAAAGTGTTCTGAATACTGATGCCTTGTATCTTTTCTCTCTTGCTTGGTGTCCTTTTAATTATGAGTTGTCATCCTCGCTATCTGCAGATTCTGGTGTGTCCTGCTGGGCACTTATTTCTGTCTTGATTTGAAACTCATTTGTACCTTAGCCTTTCTGTGCAAATAATTTTATATTAAATGCAGGGAAATGGGGTGATTGGAATATGGCCGTTGCTATGATCAGTAGTTTTTCATAGCAGGTGAGCTTGAGGATTTGGGAAGCAAATTAGAAATGGCTTTGCATTTTGAAGGTCTCTCATGCTTAAGATCTAGAACCTGAACAACTGCATTAAAACTCCATGTCCGAGTCTCCCTCTTCTTTAGCCTGGGCGCTTTCCCTGTGGAAACCCACTCTTTAAAGCTCAGTTGGAGCAAACATCAATCAGCAGAAAACCCTCTGATTCAGTTTTCACAAGCGTGTTGTTTCAGGAAAAGCTCTGGAGAGGGGAGGGGGAACTGCTTGGGCAGGGAGCGTTAAAGCACAGGTAAAAAGCATGTGTGTAAGCATAGGTTCAGATGAACCTATGCATCACGGTGTGTGTGTGTGTGTGTGTGTGTGTGTGTGTGTGTGTGTGTCTGGTCCTGAAGAGAACTGGAGTCCAATGACAATCTGGAGGGCCACATTCTTCCCATTGCTGGGTGAGGCCATTACTATGAGAATGGAGAGCTCCGGCTTAAAACACTCTTTTCTCCCAATAGTGATAGAAGTGAAACTGAATCAGAGCCGTATTGGGGAATGAGCACGCTATCTGGCTAACGTTAAAAAAGAAAGCTGGCTGTTCTGTAGTTTAGCCAACCCTTCTGGGTGATTCTAGAAACATGCAGACAGTGTCTGCATGATCCACCTGTTGAACTTCTACCCAGTTATGCGCCCACAACTCAGAGGAACAATGATCTTCCATGCCAGCAAAAGCTTCCGAGAGCAACTTATGTTAAAGCCTTTATAATCTCTGCTAATTATTAACATTACTATCCTATTCCCTACTCTTGATATAGCTTGTGTGGGGAATAGCAAGGTAATAATGATACGCAAATGGTGCAGTTTTGCATGCATGCGCTGCCTGTGTGTCTGGTTTCCTAATTAAGCAAACATCCCTCTCAAGCCTTTCTCAGAGGTTCCTTTTCTACCCCCCCCCCCGTGCCTCTGGTGGCGGGTGCAGCTGTAACACGGGCTCCATTCAAACCAGGGTTTGCAAATGTTAAGTGCCTTTTAAAAAAAATTAAAACATTTATATCCTGCCTTTTGCTTCCACAATGGAACCCCAGAACTCATATACTGTAGTATATCCCATATGCTAATAGCAAATGGATTTGAGTCCTAGCATACATGCAGTTTTTGTTGTTGTTGTTGTTTTGCTGGGATATGTGTGTAAAATGGATGTCTAGGGAGTGGAGATGTAATGGAATGTATGGAAACAAACATGACAAGGCTGGCTGGCTAGAACCCTTGACTGCCAGTTTGGAAAGGTGCACCTGAACAAAGCTGTTTTTAGATGACGTATAGAGGCATAGGCAGAAGGGGCCACTTTGATCTCTTACCGTAGTGAAGCATTCGGTAACCTTGGTCCCACTTCCAAGAAGGCTCTCTGGCACTCACCAACTTCATCCCCCGTTGTGCTGGGGAATACCATCACCCCCTCCAAGAGCCTGAAAAGTGCAGGAATTGGGGTCTGTAGTCAACACCTCATCGCACAGAACAGATGCAGCCGTAGCAACCACCCCATCCTCTCTGGTGGTGCTGTCACTGAATGCCAGGTCAGTTCAAAAGAGATCACTCACCCACAACCTGATGATGGATGGGGGCAGGTGTGATGTGGCCAATGGTCCAAAACATTTAGAGGGGCACTGGGTTGCAGAAAGCTTACACAAACCCATGATTAAGCCAAACAAGGATAGGGAGAGGAGCTGGAGAGGAGATAAAGGAAGATCATGATTCCCCAATTTGGCTCTTGATTTGCAAAGTACAGCCATCAGGAGCCAGGATTATGCCTGTACAGGCCCTCAGCTACTGCACAGAAGCTCTGCACCCCACTTTTTCCTTTGGAGCCCTAAAACATGCTATTGCAGCTCCTTTCCCGCTAACTCTGAAGCTAACAGTGGCAGAGGGCACTGTTTTTTATTGATCCTTTCCTCTTCAGCACCAACATACAGGAGCTGGATAGCTATTTTTAAAATACCTGTAATAATTTTTTCTTCAAAGTATAGACAAAAGGATGCTGGCTGTTTTCCCTCCTTGTGTTTTTTTTGGGGGGGGGGTCTGTTTTGCAGTATATTGTTATTGCTGCAATTTGGCATCAATTGCTGCAATTTGAGGGGAGGGCGGGCAAGGAGCCCCCTCTTGGGCCGCTCGGCAGTCTTTGCAACCAGCCCGCTCCCGGATCGTTTTTTCGTTGTTTTTACACAGTCCGTTTCTGTGTGCGTGCCGACCAATTTTCCGAAAGGAAATTGGCCGTTCTCTCTGTATTATATGTTTTAGCTGAGTTCAAACAGCCAAACACCTTCTGCTGGAATCCTCTGCTGAGTGCTGATATTCGATTTGAGTCCTGCAATGGTGATATCAGCTATTAGGCTAACTTGGGGTGGATGTGTGGATGTGTGTGTTTGTGTAGACGTGTTTAGATTCCCTTTCCATTCATTTTCAGATGCCTCCAAATGTGCTGGCTATAAATACCATGGTTTATAATAGTAGGTCAGAGAAAGGAGAGCACTTATCAACCCCACTGAACCTGAAAATGTCTTCCCCCCCTGGGTGGGGGGCAGCGGTTCTGGGCGACTGCGCTAGCATCTCTTTCCTTCCACCCCTTAGCTGCTCACTGAAGCTAAAATCCCTCGGCCCGCCGGGATACGCGATGGCAAATTACAGCCCCGACATTGTCCACAGCAGCAGCAGCAGCAGCCTCTATAGCTGTGGAAGCAAACAAAAGATGGTTGTGCCCGGGTGTGGAGTGTACCAGATTGGAAGTGATGTTTCCTGTCTACTGGGCCTTCTCTGAGCCGGCGAGGAATGAAATCAAAGGCGACGGGTTGCTTCCCTACAGCTCCAAAGAAGACTTTGTGGCTGAGATGTCTTCTTCCATCCCATTCCTCGAGACTGAATCCCTCCCCTGCTTATCTTCTTCTTGTGGTCTTCTGTTCCCCAGGCACCTCCTGTGATGGAACACTTAGCTCACTCTCAGTGTCTCTCTCCCTAGTTTCCAGCTGCATTGGGTGTCTGTTGTCAGATGCTCAAGACTTTCCAGAACACATCACAATTGCCGGGGGGGGGGGGGAGCTGTATACTGTACATGTTGTTTTGTTTTGCTTTTATTTTTTAAAAAAACACTAAATGTACAGCAGGGGATAGTAAGTAAGTGATGACAGGGTGACATATTGACTGAAACCTCATGTAATGCCTTCTGAAAGAATATGCCTTTTGGTGCATATTTTCTCTTTAATTATTATTACTATTATTAATTTGTTGCCCTTCTTCCAGCAGATGGCAGGTAGGGTTTTTTGGGGGGGGAGGGAGTTATCTGAAATAATTAATATGTTTATTAAATAAGGTAGTGGAGTCCATTATCTAGCAAATCAATTATGTAAATGTGTCAAAAAGCATCAGAAGTTTAGCATTTTAACTGTTGCCAAACTGCATCCACTTTCCTAAATTATAGATGAAAGACTTGGGATTTCTCCTCTCCTTTCCATGTGATGTTGGGGCTTCAGTCTTCTTTCCCCTTCGAGTGTAACAGAAGAACAATTTTTACTAGTGGGTTGTGCGTGTGTCTTTGCACGAATCGGGGTATTCCTTATCTACCACGAAGAAGCATGCCCCTTTATATACAGACCTTTATATGGATGGTAAACTGATAGGGTGAAGAGGGGAAAGGAAAGTGGCTGAAGTAAAATGCCTGGATGAGAAAATGAATTGCTGGCTGGTAGAGAGATTCATTCTCTTCATGTTTCAGTGTGAACCCACCTCGTTTCCCCTTCCTGAACCAACAGGTGAACTGGGATGCAGCCACGCTCTGAATTAAGTATGTCTCCAAATTTTGCAGTGCAGTTAGTTCCCCATTCCCAAGGTTGTGTGCAAAAATGTGTGCACTGGTGAAAATGCACGTCCAAAAGTGTGTGGAGAACATTGCATGCAAAACTGTGCATGCAGACAAAAAAGAAAAAAGGTGTGCAAAAATTTGTTTACAAAGAGAAATGGGCAAGAAAATGCAGGTGCATTTTGGGTTGCTTTTGTTTCATTAAATCGCAGACTGCGGGGGGGGGAATGGGGAGAACTAAACTTCAGGCTGGGGGGGGGGGAGAGAAACTAACACTGCCAGATTTGTCCATCAATCCATCAACTCATAGTTCTGCCCCCTCCCAGCAAAGAATTCCCTACAGAAAATCTATTAATGGCTGACCCTTTTGAAAAAGCAATATATTCTTCCTGATTATTTCATGTTGCCCAGAATTCTTCACAGTTAAGGCCATGGCCCGTTCCAGATCTGCTTCCTCCTTTGCCACCAAGACTCTGCTCTGAACCTGGGTTTTAGGATTTGGCGAGGGACCACAGCTGATTGAGAGATCACTTGCTTGGTATGCAGAAGGCTCCTGGCCCAATCCCTGGCTCATCTACAGTTAAAAAGAGGGTGTGGAGGGACCCTTCCTCTGCCAGAGACTTGGAAGGCCTGCAACTAGTCAGAGAAGACAAATTTTAATATTTTCACATCATTTATTTACCGGTGTTTGGAAATTTTATATTTATGTATATTGTTTGTTTATCTCAACAAGAAAAGCAGACCATACACACAAGGAGAAAAAGAAATATGAACAAAATAATAGATCCGTTCATGACAAAACACTTCTGAGAATAAAGTCAAAAGAAAAAAAATCTGGAGTGAATGAAATGGATACATTTATAAAATTGTAAGCTTACAAATGGGGTATAAAAGCACAACTTACGTTGTACAATAAAGGAAATGAGGAAAAAAGAAAAAGGTCTTCCCTGTTTATTGTCAACTCCAACTAAAACCATACTTGGAAATATTTGGAAATTTTCTAGGCCATTTAACATTTTCAAGAAATCTAAGCGGTGTACAAGATAACTAAAAACATAACTTGAAAACATGGTTTAAAACCATCTCTCTCACACATACACACACTGATATGAAATACTTCCAGGAAACATAAACAGCAAGATGCAACAGCAGAGGTTAAAAAAGAAGAGAAAGATACGACTTCAGGAGGTACTTGAAGCTGATGGCACCATTGTGAATTTCAGAGGGATTAGGGCATCCCAAACTACAGGGGCACCCATGGGAAATGCCCTTAGCTCAGATCTCCCCATCGGTGGCCCCTACACTGCCCCGCTGACTGTGGGGTCACCCAGTTACAACACTTTCCTTTCTCCTGGAATTCTTGCAATTCTGATTTCTTAAAAAATGCCTTACGAATGTGGAGCTTCCTTTCTACCCGAGATTACAAGCATTCATGCAACACAACGCCCAATGTGTTGTGTTTATTAATTTGTCAGTGTTAGATCAATCATAACAGAATGAACAGAGGTGTCTGATAGAGTTGAAAGAAGATGGAGCAGGGCTGGTGCTGCAAAAGGAGAGAGAGAGCGGATGACAGATGTGATGTCTAATTTGAATGGATGCGCTACAGGCAAGGAGCGGGAGGGAAGGGGACGCGGCAGCCTCAACCCTCAGCAATGGCCTCGGGAAGGAGACAATATTAAAGCTTTATAACAATGAAAGAACATTGCCTGATGTGTTTCGCAGAATGGGGTAATGTATTCCGAACACACAGCAGTGGTTATATTTAATCTGACACTGCTAAAGATGGTTGGGAAGGGGACAACGGATCCGCCAGCATTTTATTTCAACACACACCCTCTGCTTGCTCTGCAGGTTTCTCTCTCACCCCCCCCCCTCCCGTTTGCAATTTCCTCTTTGCAAAACCCAAGGCATCCAGGAGAGCAGCCTTTGGCAAGCCTCTTGTTCTCCAGATGTTTGGGGCTACAACTCCCATCAGCTGTGCTGGCTGGGGCTGGTGGGAAGGGTATTCTGAAACATCTCAAGTGCCCCAACACTGGCCTGGAATAACACTGTTGGGCTAAAGGGCCAAACACTGGTCTGGAATAACTCGGGTTCCTCTCTTCCTATGCCTGGAGTTATCCAGTGAGAATCAATGATCAGCATCCTCTTGGGCTGAAGGAATTGGTGCTGAGGACTGGGCTTTTAAATATATTATTAGCAGGAAATCATCTAGGGAAGCAGTTGGACCCTTGGGTGACAAGGGAGTTTAAGGAGTTGTAAAGGAGGGTAAAGAGATTGCAGGGAAGCTAAATGATTTCTTTGCATCTGTCTTCATAATGGAGGATATAGGGCAGATCCCAGTGCCTGAAGTACTGGTAACCTTTGCAGGAGGAAAGTCTGAAAAACTAGGATAGATAGTGGTGATGGCATATGAGGTTCTAGGCCTAATAGACAAAATAAAAACCAACCAACTGCTGCGTCCATCCAAGTGTTCTCAAGGAACTCAAATCTGAAATTGTCTAATGAAAATAATGTCTCTCAGATCAGCCTCCATACTTGAGGACTGGAAAGTAGTCAATATAAATCCAATTTTTAAGAAAGGATCTCAGGGGATCCTGGAAACTACAGGTTTGTTAGCTTAATGTCTGTCCTTGGAAAACTGGTGGAAAGTATGGTTAAATATAAAATAACCAAGCACATAGAAGAACAAGCCCCACAGAAGCAGAGCCAGCATGGCTTCTGGAAAGGAAAGTCCTGTCTCACAAACCTATTAGAATTATTTGAGGATGTCAACAAGCATATAGATAGAAGTGATCCAGTTGACGTAGTGTACTTGGACTTTCAAAAAACTTTTGACAAAGTACCTTATCAAAGACTCCTGTGTAAGCTTAGCAGTCAAGAAATAAGAAGAGAGGTCCTCTTGTGAATCAAGAATTGGTTAAGTTGCAGGAAGCAAAGCGTAGGAATAAATGGAGAGGAGTGGAAAGTGGAGTCTCTTCAGGAATCGGTGTTGGGATCTGTGCTTTTTAACTTGTTCACAAATGATCTAGAGTTAGGAGTGATCAGTGAGGTAGCCAGGTTTGCCGATGATACTAAATTGTTCAGGGTTGTTAAAATGAAAAGGGTTTGTGAAGAGTTTCAAAAGTACCTCCAAACTGAGTGAACGGGCAGTAAAATGGCAAATGCAATTCAATGGAAACAAGTGTAAACTGATGCATGTTGGAGCAAAACATTTTTTACTTCACATACATGCTCATGGGGCCTGAACTGGAGGTAAAGGACCAAGAGTAAGACCTTGGGGTCATAGTAGAGCGCTCTGTGAAGATGTTGACCCAGAGTGCTGCAGCCATGAAAAAGGCAAATTCCATGTTAGGGATCGTTAGGAAAGGAATTGAAAATAGAACTGCCAGTGTCATAATGCTGTTATATGGTGTGGCTGCATGTGGAGTACTGTGCGCACTTCTGGTCTCCTCACCTCGAAAAGGATATCATAGAGTTGGAGAAGGTTAAGAAAAGGCCACCCAAGTGATCAAGTGGATGGAGCGACTCCCCTATGTAGAAAGATTGCAGCGTTTGGGCCTTTTTAGTATAGAGAAAGGGTGAGAAAGGTGACAAGTTTATAAAATTATGCATGGCATGGAGAGAGCAGATACAGAAAAGTCCCCCCCCCCCCATAACATTGGAACTCATGGGCGTCCAATGAAGATGAATGATGGAAGATTTATTACAGATAAAAGAAAGTACTTCTTCATGCAGCGCAGAGTCAAATTATGGAACTCACTCCTCCAAGAGACGATGATGGCCACCAACTTGGATGACTTTAAAAGAGGTTTTGACAGATTCATGAAGGAGAGGGGTATTGATGCCGACTGGTCATGATGTCTGTGCTCTGTCTCAACAGCTGGAGACAGTAATGCTTACCAGTTGCTGGACATCACGGGAGGAGAGAGGGCTCTTGTGCTCAGATCCCACAGGCATTTGGTTTGCCACTGTGAGAGCAGGGGTCATGGGGCCCATCCATCAGGCTCTTCTTATGTTCTAAACAGTGATCATGCCCACCTCATTCATTGCACGTCCCCCTAAATTGAAAAGGCCCAATTATTTAGCCTTTCCTTGTTGGGAAGCCCAATCCAGTCCCCTAAACATTTTAGCTAAGAACTCTGATGACTTGCCATCCTCGTCAGATGAATGGCTGGTGTCAAGAGTCTCCTGATGGGACTGATGACAAAGAATCTAAGCTGATAAAAAGCCTCTCTGATCTTAATATAGTCTGTCCCTTTGTCTGTTGGCTGTGCTTAACTTAGTGTTGCGATCAGCATTGTGGGTTTGTAGAGATGTTAGTGCAGAGAGTCTGTAAGACTCCCACTCCTTGCTCCCATAAATACATCTCTGTGATAAAGTTTGGAGTGATTTTTGCACTTATAACTTTATGATGCATCCTTTTGGCTTGTTAAGATGAAAGGCCTTCATCGAACTTGCTCTCCTCTGATGTGATTTAAAAAATAACAACACAGGAGCCTAGTAAATAGATTATACTCTGTGTGCAAGAGAGAGAGAGAGAGAGAGAGAGAGAGAGAGAGAGCGCACTGGTGCAGATTAGTGTTTTGAGCCAGGAGGTTTTGCCACCATGAAGGGTGGGGAAAACATGGGGGGGGGGAGTTTCTTTCTTTCTTTTTTGACAAGCTGCTTGTCAGAATTTTCAGAAGAACTTTCTTTTATTTATTATTCATTATGCAGAATTCTGTAGCATAAATGGATTTGTTTGCATGCCACCAGGCTGATTGAAAAATAACCAACATCAGGGCAACTTGGGCTGAGTAGGGCTGTGAGCAACTGTGGAGGAGGGAGGAGCAGATGCAAAAGAGCCTGGCTGCTGGATCAGAGCAAATGCCCGTCTTCCCCAGCATCCTGTTTCCACCGTTGGATCTAGCCAGGGCGGTCAGTGGGTGATCACAATCGGTTACTCTTCTTCTCCTTCTCCTTCTCCCTCTTCCTCTCACCACCCCCAGCCTAACTGGAACCTTGCAGGATGGTTACGAGGACAAAATAATTGTCTGTGCACCCTGACCTGGGTTTCTTGGAGGAAAGTGGGAGCACAGAAGGACATAACAAGAGCCTGCTAAGGCAGGCCAATGACCCATCTATTCCAGCGTCCTGTTCTTACAGTGACTAGTCCAGTGGCAATGGGGAGCCCACAAAAAGGACCCGACCACAAGGACCCTCTCTCCTCCTGTGGCTTCCAGCAGAGGATAACTATCAGGCTATTGATAGCATTTCCCTCCATGAATTTGTTCAATTCTCTTTTAAAACTATCACTGCCTCCTGTGGGAGCGAGTTCCATAGTTTTAACTCTGCACTTTGTGAAAAAGTATTTCCTTTTACCTGCCCCAAATATTCCAACAGTCAGTTTCATTTGATGTCCATGAATTCTAGTGTTACAAGAAAGGGAGAAAAATTATTCTCTATCCAGTTTCCCCATGTCATGCAAAATGTTATAAGCATCTATCATGTCACCTCTCACTCACCTTTTCTCAAAACTAAAAAGTCCCAAATGCTGCAAGCTTTCTTCATGAGAAGTCTAGTGTCCAGATCAAGGGAAGTAATAGTACCACTCTTTTCTGCCTTGGTCAGACCACACCTGCAATCCTGTGTCCAGTTCTGGGCACCACAATTTAAGCAGGATGTTGACAAGCTGGAATGTGTGCAGAAGAGGGCAACCAAGATGATCAAGGGTCTGGAAACTAGGCCTTATGAGGAGCACTTGAAGGAGCTGGGCATGTTTAGCCTGGAAAAGAGGAGATATGATAGCCATCTTGAAATGTCTTAAGGGCTGCCACATGGAAGATAGAGCAAGCTTCCTGCTCTGGAAGGCGGGACTCAAACCCATGGCTTCAAGTTACAAGAAAGGAGATTCTGACTAAACACCAGGAAGAACTTTCTGACAGTAAGAGCTATTCAGCCATGGAACAGACTCTCGTGAAAGGTGCTGGGCTCTCCTTTCTTGGAAGTTTTTAAGCAGAGGTTGGATGTTCATCTGTCATGGATGCTTTAGCTGAGATTCCTGCATTGCAAGGGGTTGGACTAGATGACCCTTGGGATCCCTTCCAACTCTATGATTCTGTGAGGAAGTTGCTCCTTCATCTCTTTGGCAGTTTTGATTGCCCTTTTCTGAACCTTTTCTCATGTGTACGATATCCCTTTAGAGGCGGCGAAACCAGAACTAGACTGGAGGAAGGCCCTTGGTACTCCATGGAATCTATTAAGGTGCCTGGTCTACAGATCTGCATCAGGGGGCACCCTAGAGGTGGAGTGCTACTCTAGAGAAGCCTTCATGTTCAACAGTGACCCACCTGGCCTCAGGAGGCAGGAGTGCATGAAGAAGATCTCATATCATGGGCAGGTGGCCTTTCATGTTCCCTTGTCCTCAGCCATGGTTCAATTATATGAGTTGATGCACCCCTGGCTTTAGGCAACCCTCTCTGGCTGGGGAAGTTGGGAGCTGAAACCCAAATCATCTTGAGGACACCAAGGTAGGGAAGGCTGGTCTTAAGCCACATCAGCCCATGACTGAGGCTTCGTGCTCTGACCACATGGCTTCAGCTCATCATTAACACTTCGCATAGCAGCCACCACCATATTCTTCTAGTCTGTCTGTGTGCATGCATCCAGTTGTATTTATAGAAGAATGCCTGTGAAATGTGAAAGAAACAGGCCTTTGAAGTGTCAAGCCATAAATTCTGGAGGGGAAAAAACAGATCTTTCTTCCCTGCAGGAGGAGCCTGCATTTCATGTCGAACTGTCTTAATTTGCCTAAAATATTTCCCCATTGGCTCCAGCCGTGGAAAATAATAAGGCAGAAGAAGGGAGCTGGCGCGCCTCAATCCAGAGATGTTTTCTGCACTTAGGCCCAGTGTTTCTTTCTTCCACTTGCTCTCAGCTTTTCATCCATTTCCATTGTGCTTGAAACCCCTGAAAGGCAGAACATCACTGCCTGAGCTTTGGGGCTGAGGGAGAGAACTCTTCCTGGACATTTTGCTTACAGGTTTCCTCTGCTGATTAATTAATTAATTATTCATTTATTTCATTAAAATTATACACAAAAAGACCAAAACAAAACAACCCTCAAAGGGTCTGTCTGATATCAATAGACAGGGAGTTGGAGCTGTTGCCACACTCCTAAACTGATTTCTTACAAATGCCAGTCTCCAGATCAAAGTGGTCAAGTGGGCATATATGGGATGAGGCGTGGGCTTTTTTTCCAGCTGGAACTCTCTAGAACTCAGTTCTGGCACCTCTCAGGTGGGCATCATTGCCATCATAAGATGACTACTGAGGCATTCATTGTGAGTTCTGTTTTTCTAAAAATCATATTTTTATTGCATTTTCCATTTTTTTCCTATTTAGACATTATCTTAAAAGTCACTTTATATATTGCTCGTCTGAGCATCAACTTCCCCATTTATATCTTTTCTTCCTAGCATTTGCAAGTCTTTCCTTTTACCGTTTTCCTTCCTAGTCCCTTTAACTTTCAATAAAGGTAAAAGGGTACCAATCTTAGCATTACAAGTCTTCTCACAACCCCGCTAGTGTTGTTAATTGTTTACAATGTTCTTTCAAATATAATATAAATTTACTCCAGTCTTTTTGAAAAGCTTGATCCTGTTGGTACCTTCCCGGTCAGCTTCACCAGTTCCACAGAGTCCATCATTTTCGTCTGCCACGCTTCTAACATTGGTACCTCTTGCTGTTTCCATTTCTGGGCTAATAAAGTCCTTGCTGCTGTAGTTGCATACATATATAATTTCTGGTCACACTTTGGTATCTCTCCCCCAACTAACCCTAATAAGAAAGCTTCTGGTTTTTTAACAAAGGTACAGTCATACCTCATGTTATGTCCACTTCATGTTACGTTCTTTCAGGTTACGTCCTGTGGCAACCCGGAAGTACCGGAAAGGGTTACTTCTGGGTTTTGCCGCTCGCGCATGCGCAGACACGCGAAATGACGTCATGTGCATGCACAGAAGTGGCGAATCGCAACCCATGCATGTGCAGACACGCCGCTGCGGGTTGCGTTCTCTTCATATTGTGAACGGGCCTCCGGAACAGATCCCATTCGCAACCAGAGGTACCACTGTATTCTTGAATATTTTCTTTAACTCATGGTGAGTTCTAGCACCCCTTTTTCTAGAAAAATAGCACTAGATAAGGCTATCTCATGGGCAAACTGGGCCCAAGTTACTAAGGGCTTTATATACTAATAGTAACACCCTGAACTCGGCCCAGCAGCAAATAGACGACCAGTGCAGGTCTCTGAGCACAGTTGTTACCGTATTTTTCGTTCTATAGGACGCACATTTCCCCCTCCAAAAATTAAGGGGAAATGTGTGTGCGTCCTATAGAGCGAATGCAGGCTGCGCCGCTAAGCCCAACGCCAGAACAGGAAGACGGAGCACTGCGGAGCGCTCCGTCTCGCTGCTCTAGCTTGGGGACGGCTGCGTGCAAACCTCTGCAGGGCAGCGGGGTGCCTTCACCCCGCTGTCCTGCAGAAGCTAGCAAGGCTGTTCCCAAGCCAGAACAGCGAGACGGAGGGCTCCGTTTCGCTGCTCTAGCTTGGGGACGGCTGCGCGCAAACCTGTGCAGGGCAGCGGGGCGCTGCGCTCCAAAGGCTTCAGGGATCTTTGAGGCTGGCGGTGGGGGAAAGCAGCGCTTCCCCCCACCGCCAGCCCCACAAGCTCTGGTGAATGTACCTTGAACGCACCTTGTTTTAGAGGGGGAGAACAAGAAAAAAATTTTTCCCTTGTTCTCCCCCTCCTATGATCCGGTGCGTCCTATGGTCCGGTGCGTCCAATGGAGCGAAAAATACGGTATATCCTGACAAGCTTTCACTCCTGCCAGTTATCGTTCACCAGCATTCTGCACTAACTGTAGCTTTTGGGTCAAGGACAAGGGAAGCCCCACATAGCACACATTGCAGTAGTTCAGTCTTGAAGTAACCAATGCATGAACTGATGTCAAGATGGATAGGCCAGAGCTTTGTGGCCAAGCATGAGCTTTGTGTGGTGCCCACAATTAAAACTGATGGGAAAGGCAAATGCTGGCTGCAGGGTTTTTAGCGTCTAGGGAGGAGCAGAGGGGATAGGGCCACTCAGCATCAGTGAGCCCAGTGAGCTTTTGG